CCCAAATACAACGAATGCGGCTGCTGACAAGATGGCACAGGAACATTCGCAACACGGCCAAGAAGCTGGTAGGTCCCCACTCTGCGTCATACCCTGGCCACAGTTGAGCATCGTGGAACTGACCTTTCGTTTTTGTTTAGGTCAACGCCTCCAAGACTGATACGCTTCTCAGCCAGCACGCCGGCAAATCTCTCGATGAACTTGTCGCGGAAAAGATCCTCAATACCGACCAAAAGACCCAGATTCAGAAGAAGCCTGCTCTCCAGGCTGCCCTGGCCCAGTACGAGGAGCAGCTTGCTCAATACCAGAAAATCCACGAGCAGTACCAGACACGAGCGGCGGCCGACAAGGCAGAATGGGCCAAATCTCTCGAGAAGACCAAGGAGGAGGCAATCAGTGAAGCCAAGGCTGATTCTGAAAGCTCTCTCAAGTCCAAGCTTCTTGTTCTGTCACAATTCTTGCGTCTGGCAGCCTACCGCCGCGAGGAATCTCAGGAACCGGACTCGGATGAGAGCCAGGCCATTGAGGGTGTGCTGCTTGCCATTTACTCTGGAGACGATAATGCCGTCTCAGCCATGCAGAAGCTGATTGAGGGATCTGAAGACCAAATCTTCAGTGTCCCTGGAGAGCAGCTCCAGACAACTTGTATGTGGAACGACCAAATATGGGCGTTGCTGGAAACTGCCGCTAACTACAACAGATGCCTCCGTCAAGTCACTGGCAGAAAACTACAACGCGCCAGCCCATACTGAGGCTGCAGTTGAAGGACAGCCAGCAGCCGAGATTGTGTCCGACCCGACCATTGCAAATGAGGCCGCAACTGAGATTGCAGCTGGAGACGGCATCCTAGCCAACGGTCATGAGCATGTGGAACCCGAGCCTGCTTCCAATGGTCTTGCTAATGCCAACGTTGCGGATGAGGCTGCCAATGCAGTTGCTGAGAGCCACTGGGATACCAGCAACCACGACATTTCCCTTTCCCAGGAGTGGGTTGATGTAGGGGCTATCCCTGCCGAGACAACTGAGCCTGAGCCTGAGCCCGAGGCTAGCGTAGAGGTCGCCACCCCTGATGCTAAGAAGCAGTCTTGGGCTGATGACCACCCTGATCCCGTCGCCGAGGTACGTGTTGGGGCATCATTCTGACTCCTCTTGCCCATTCAAGCGAATCTTACTGACGCACTCCACTCTAGGCTCCTTCTGCACCAGCCGATGCCAACGATGGATTCCACCAAGTCCAGCGCAACCGGGGACGACAGGATCGCGAGGGCAGTGGAGGACGTGGACGCGGTCGTGGTGACTGGCGCGGCCGAGGTGGCTTCCGAGGAGATGGCCGTGGACGTGGCCGAGGACGCGGTGGCGATCGAGGTGATCGTGGCGGAGTGCCTTTCCGGGGACCTCGCCGCAACGAGTCGTAGAGCTCCGGCTCACGGTTCGTGGGTAAGTTCTGATCTCTTGCTTCTCTGCACACCCGTTGGAGGTGATTTGTACATTACGACATGATGGCGTTACCTGGTTTCTCCGGCCGTGTTGGCGGAGCTGAGTTAAGGCGACTTTTAGGCATTGCATTGGAACTTGTCAAAAAGGCAGGTCTCGGGTTCTTTTTGGCGGAAGGGGATGGTTGGGGCGGCTTCTTTCAATAAGCACCTTTGTAAATCCCTCATGGCTCTTAGGAAGTGCAGCATCTTTGAAGCAGGCTACTGGTATTCATAGGTAGTAGAAAACTATATAACAAAAAGTTTGCCCACGAAACATTGTTGTTGCTCTATCTACAAGCCTTTCTTCCCCAGCTTTTCTTGTTATTATTAGCACAGGTGCCCAATCAATTGAATTGACGTATTTTTGTTTTTTTTTGTCGGGACCCCTCCATTTGAGTGCCGACACTTACCGTGATCGGGCGCGTTAGTCCCAAATAGGCAGTACCTTATTATTGTACGCCACCTGGCCTTATCCGCTATCAGCCTCGCAGATGTTCGACCGGCCTAATCGAGCAGCCTCTCAGCTGCCGTCATTGAAACTTGTCCTCTTCTCACGGCCAAGTCTTTGAAACCCGCTAGGGTGTCAGTTGAGGCCACATCTGCGGTCCGGAGCATTCTTTTCTAAGCTGGAAAGCTCTTTGTTATAAAGTCTGACTGGAATCCCCCCCCTTGACTCTCCCGCAGTCCCGAGGGCTTTGTATCTCTGCTGGAACCTGGACGGCTGCTTCGCTATCCAGGTTTCGCTGTTTCGGACAACACCTTCTTTCAAGGGCCGGCGAATCACACTTACACGCAACCACAAACATGACATCACAACGCCGCTCACCGTTACTGATGCTCCTAGGAGCCATCTTCTTTTTTTCCGCCAATGTCCTGGCTGCCGCGGCCGTTCTCGGAGTCGATCTGGGCACCGAGTACATCAAGGCTGCTCTGGTAAAGCCTGGCATCCCGCTTGAGATTGTGCTTACAAAAGACTCTCGACGAAAAGAAACCTCGGCCGTTGCTTTTAAGCCTTCAAAAGGCGCCGTGGCTGAGGGCCAGTATCCCGAGCGCAACTATGGCGCTGACGCAATGGCCATTGCCGCTCGATTCCCCGGCGAAGTATACCCGAACCTGAAGCCCCTCCTCGGACTCCCAGTGGGAGATGCGATTGTCCAAGAATATGCGGCCAGGCACCCTGCGTTGAAGCTCCAGGCGCACGCCACAAGGGGGACCGCCGCGTTCAAGACGGAGACTTTGACCGCTGAGGAGGAGGCTTGGATGGTGGAGGAGCTGTTGGCCATGGAACTTCAAAGCATCCAGAAGAACGCAGAGGTTACTGCTGGCGGCGACTCTTCGATCCGCTCCATCGTTCTCACCGTACCGCCGTTCTATACCATTGAGGAGAAGCGAGCCCTGCAAATGGCAGCGGAGCTTGCTGGCTTCAAGGTTCTCAGCCTGGTTAGCGAAGGTCTGGCCGTGGGTCTCAACTACGCCACCAGTCGCCAATTCCCCAACATCAACGAAGGCGCCAAACCTGAATACCATCTGGTATTTGACATGGGAGCGGGATCGACTACCGCCACTGTCATGAGGTTCCAGAGCCGCACTGTCAAGGACGTTGGCAAGTACAACAAGACGGTCCAAGAGATCCAGGTTCTTGGCAGTGGTTGGGACAGGACCCTTGGTGGAGATTCTCTCAACTCACTGATTGTCGATGACATGATTTCTCAGTTTGTGGAATCCAAGGGCGCTCAGAAAATCTCGGCAACCGCTGAGCAAGTTCAGTCTCATGGCCGCGCCGTTGCAAAGCTGAGCAAGGAAGCTGAGCGCCTTCGTCATGTTTTGAGCGCCAACCAGAACACCCAAGCCAGCTTCGAGGGGCTGTACGAGGATGTCGATTTCAAATACAAAATTTCTCGACCTGACTTTGAGACTATGGCGGAGGGCCATGTGGAGCGAGTTGCCGCTGCCATTAAAGAGGCTCTGAAAGCAGCCAACCTCGAAATTGGCGACCTCACCTCTGTCATCCTTCATGGTGGTGCAACTCGTACTCCATTTGTACAAAAGGCACTGGAGAAGGCGCTTGGATCTGGAGACAAAATTCGATCAAACGTAAACTCTGATGAGGCTGCCGTATTCGGTGCTGCTTTCCGGGCTGCTGAGCTCAGCCCAAGCTTCCGTGTGAAGGAAATTAGGATTTCAGAGGGTGCCATGTACCCAGCCGGCATTACCTGGAAAGCAGCCAATGGCAAAGTACAGCGCCAGAGACTCTGGACAGCCCCTTCGCCCCTCGGTGGCCCCGCCAAGGAGATCACTTTCGCTGAGCAAGAGGACTTTACTGGTTCGTTTTATCAGCAAGTCGATACCGAGGACAAAGTTGTCAAGACTTTCTCGACCAAGAACCTAACTGCAACCGTCGCGGCTCTCAAGGAAAAGTATCCCACGTGCGCCGACACCGGCGTTCAGTTCAAGGCCGCAGTCAAGCTTCGCACTGAGAACGGCGAGGTCGAAATCGTCAAGGCCATAGTCGAATGTGAGGCTGAAGTAACTGAGAAAGAGGGCTTCGTTGACGGCGTTAAGAATCTTTTTGGTTTCGGTAAGAAGGACCAGAAGCCCCTTGGCGAAGGAGACAAGGAAAATGCCGATGCATCAGAAGATGCCGAAGCCAAGGCTGAAGAGGCCAGCTCCTCCGAAGCCAAGTCGTCTTCTACCAGCAGCACCAAGTCCGGAGAGGCAGCTCAGTCAACAGAGGCCGCAAAGGAGGAAGTCAAGAAGAAGCAGATGGTTTCCATTCCCGTTGATGTTACACTGGAGAAGGCCGGAATCCCACAGCTGACCAAGGCTGAGTGGACCAAGGCTAAGGATCGATTGAAGGCATTCGCAGCCTCTGACAAGGCGAGAGTGCAGCGCGAAGAGGCCCTGAACCAGCTTGAAGCATACACATACAGGGTCCGCGATCTTGTCGACAACGAAGCCTTCATCTCGGCATCTACTGAGGAGGAGCGACAGACACTGGCCGAAAAGGCTAGCGAAGCTAGTGACTGGCTCTACGAGGAGGGAGATGCGGCCACGAAAGCCGATTTTGTTGCCAAGCTCAAGGTTCTCCAAGACCTTGTGGGACCAATTCAGAGCCGCCTAGATGAGGCTGAACGACGACCTGGGCTGATTACCGAATTGAGAAACATTCTCAACACTACAGATGTATTTATCAACACTGTGCGTGCGCAGATCTCTGCATATGACGAGTGGAAAGCCACAGCCTCTGCCAAAGAGGCCGAATCTGCAACCTCCAGTGCTGCTGCTGAAACACCAAGCACCGGCTTTGAAGGGCTGGAGGATGAGGACGAAAGTTCCAAGGACGCAGAAGAGAAGCCAGTCAAAGATGAGGTGGTGCCTCCGCTACACAACTCTGAGGAAATCGACGGCCTCGAGGTTCTCTACAAGGAGACACTGGATTGGCTTAACAAGCTCGAAGTTGAGCAGGCAGACATTCCTCCCACCCAAGATCCTGTCCTCAAGGTTAGCGAACTGGTTGCCAAACGTGATACGCTCGACAAGGCCAGCTTGGACCTCGCACTGAAGAGCTACAACCAATACCAGAAAAACAAGCCCAAGAAGCCCACCAAGAGCAAGAAGGCGAAGAAGGACAAGACAAAGAGTGGTGAAAAGGCCACCCCCACCTTTGAGTTTCCCGAGGGAAGCGTACCTCTCTCTGGCGAGGAGCTAGAAGAGCTGGTCAAGCAGTATATGAAGGAGGAAGAGGATGCCCGCAGAAATGCGGAAGACACAGCGAAGCCGGAGCATGACGAGCTCTAGGCGGAAGGCGTTTTGATACACTGGCATTGAAGTAAATACTTGGGTCGTATGATATAAAAAAAAGTCAAAGTACCTAGATAGATGCGGTATTCTGGATTTTTGAATGATATAAATGCATGATAAGAACGTTTATTCGGGCACATGTGACGGTTACCTCGTATGGAGGCAAATGAGCTGCTATGAGTGTTCAACACCCAGGCAAGATTCAGATGTTCTATATCGATGCTCGCTGTAGTGTAACCATAGACGGCTATCCACTCAAGTTCCTTTATATGTGGTTGTAAATCATGATTCGGACGGATAGGCATAAGTTGAAGATTGTGCACAGATGACTTTTCATGTTACTCAAGGAGATCAGACTACATGTACTAACCCGTTCCCCTTGAAGAGAGAGACTCGGCGAGTACCCGACGTGTTTCATCCGCAGAGGGCTTGATTTAACCTTTTTGCATACCTATTTAAGGCTACCGTTGAATGTTCATAGGTAAAAATAGGTTCAGTGCCTAGAGGCTATTGAGGTTTATATTTCGACAACTCGGATTAAGCGATGCTGTCTTGGTTTCTATATGGCTTCTGGAGCATATTCACAGGAAGAGAATAGTTAAAAGTTCAGTCAAGGGTCTCCAAATACATATTCAATTCGATGAGCAGCTATTATGTTGATAGGAATAGAAACCGAAGTTTAAGGAGAAATAATATATTAAGCAAAAGGGGGCCAATATCTGCCCAGGCGGTGATAATAATAGAATAAAAGCGGTGCAAGTGTTTCGCTTGGTGCGGCAGATGGCAGCCGGGCAACGGCAGGCGGCAGTGAATCACACCCGACAGAACCTTCCCTCGCTGCGGGACTACCCTCTACAAGTTTCAGCGTGGGTGAACTGTACAACATCGTGAGGTTTGCTTCTTTTCTACCCCTTTCTTGTCCTTCAACTCCTTTGATCCTCCTCAAAATCTGGTGACGAGCAGCGTCAGCAAGCCACCATATCGCAGACCAGATTCACTGTCGTCCATCCAAACTCCATTCCTTCTTCAGAGCAAACGATTCGAACTAGGGAGGGGGGACCATGTGGCACTGCATACTCTTCGTCTTGCTCGCTCCTCTGTGGACACTGGTCACGGTTGTTGCCTCTCCAAACCCAGCTGGATTCTCGCTCGCCGTGAACCCAAAAGCAGATGCCTCTCGGAACTTTGTGCGCGATTGGGCTGCTGCTCGACACAAATGGGGCAAGGGAGTGCCCAGAGAGATTGCATCGGCGTTTGCTCTGAGTGACAGTCGTGAGTCCTTCTCTTATTTGACTGTTTTTCTTGAGATGAGAGCTAACTTTGTGCAGTTGGCATTGTTGATGTCGAACCCATGGGAAGCGACGATATCTACGTAGCCGATGTGCAGATTGGAAGTCCCCCACAGACATTGAAACTGGCCTTGGATACTGGATCTTCAGACTTGTAAGTCAAGACCTTTTGTTACAGCTGACCGGTTTCCTAAATGCTGATGTCTATCTTCAAGATGGATCCAATCCACCGATACTATGTATCGTGTCAACGAAAAGGGTCCATGGGCTCCACGATATCACCCAAATGACTCCACAACAGCCCATCTCATCCAAGATGCCAGATGGTCGGTGCAATATCGTAAGTTTGAGCTGAAGAGTCGCCCTGTGGTGCAAGAACCCCCCCAAACTAACCTATCCCATAGTGGACGGCACCGCAGCCGATGGCATTGTCTATCATGACACGGTCTTGCTAGGCGATTTTACAGTGGTAAACGCAACCGTTCAGTCTGCGAAAATGGTCACCAGCCGTTTTGAAGAGGAAATCGAATTGAGTGGCATCTTGGGCTTGGCCAAGAGACTACCAAACAACATTGAACCGCCGGCACCGTCTTTCCTCAGCTTGTTGCGGCAACAGCTCCGACATCAGGTTTTTGGTGTCGACTTGAATAGAAATGCCTCAGGAGTCTTTACTTTTGGCTACATCAATGAAAGCCGGGCCTCTGACGAAATCACATGGGTCGACACTGACCCTGACAGCCCCCATTGGGACGTCGAGTTCAATCTCACCACCTGGGGGGAGACGACCACGCCATGGTACTCGCAAAAGTTTACAGCCACCATCGATACTGGTACCACCTTGATGTTCTTGCCCGATAATTTGGCCAGCGGATACTGGTTCACGATCCCAGGCATGAAGGTCGACGAAAGGCTGGCGAATGCCTTCACGTTCCCCTGTGAAGTCGCCAAAGATTTGCCCAATCTCATGCTCAAAATACCCGGCAGCAGCCGTACCCTTACCATTCCAGGCCCGTACCTCAACTATGGCCCTGTTGAGATTGATCCATCCTACTGCTGGGGAGGTATGCAGAGCGCCGAGGATCTGTCCGTGACTGTCTTGGGGGACATTATGCTCAAGGCTCTGTACCTGGCATTTGATCTCGAAAGGGGGCGAGTAGGATTTGCCAACAAACATCTGCATGATGTCTAGTGGCAGATTCGATATCGTGACTCCTTACAGAGCTAGGGTTGAGATTTCTTGATTTCCCATGAGAATTGGAATGAGCTTACTCTCAGTGCCGTGTTAATTTAGAAGAAACGCAGACCTCTTTGATACGCTGGGTTTTTGAAGTTCTCATAAGGCTGGATGTATAGCAAGGACATGAGATTTGCGAAAATGTATCAGGTTTAATGACTTGCATAGCCATCACACAAGCTGCTTATGGTGCTGAAACCTTACGCACAAAATGGAGAGGATTCCTTGCAGAGTATTTATAGCTTTCCGTATTGCATTCATCCTAAAAGTGGTATATACAAATGCACTCCCCAGCCCGTCATCATTGGGAGAGGCCAACGAATGGTTTCCTCCTGTGCCGTGGACCCCATCCATCTAGCCATCCCCATCCAATTGTCCCCCCTAGTAGCCCATTTCGTTTCAAAAAGAAACATGTTTTGCGTGTGTGCATTAATGTGGTATAATGTATGTGGTATGTATAGTTCGGTGAGCACGCGCGGAAAACGGACTCGACCAAAAGGCGTATTTCGAACACGCCTCGTTTTGTATTATAAGGAAATAATGGGGGGAGAAAAGCAAAAGGGCAAAAAGAACAACGGAAAAAACAAAGATGCAGCTTCCATTCTGGAAGAACAGTGGTTTGCGGTGAACCTTGTGAAAACGCCGGAGGGAAAACGTGTCGTTGAAACGAATGTATGCCGGAGGAAGAGTTTCTCTGGGGTTCCGATTCAGGTTGTAAGATGCGTGATGTTTGTGAGTTTTTTTTAATTGTTTTAATTTTTTTGTTTTTGTTTACCTGAGCTGAACGAGAGCGGTGTGGGAGAGAATACAGACAAGAAAAGCAGTCTTGCACAATTGATGGCGTCGTTTGATTGCATGTCGTAGCAAGTCCGGGGTCCTTGGGGGTCGATTCCGCGTTGTTTGAGAACCTGGGAGAGAGAAGAACGTATGCGAGGTTTTGGCGTGGAAAGGGCCCAACTGGAGGAGACCATTTGCCGTAAGACGGCGCATCAGAGGGGAAAAGAGTGCAGGCTTTGAGTTCTTATTTTGTTTGTCCTTGTTGCTTTTCATATAGCATTTTTACTCGCGATCGCCATCTTCAATGGGAGAAAAAAGAGAGAGAAACCAAAAGTCAGCGGGGGCCGTCGTCCATTAAATCGGCTCGGGTGACAACGTAATATTCACCTTCACTGGCCCCGGGGGTTGGAGGCATGTCACCAGAGCTGGGGGCTTGCTGGGCCGGCCTTGCGGTTCCTGGCCGCGACCTGGACTTACTGTCGTCTGTGGGAGCTGCAGAGAGAGACGAGGCTTCCTGCTTGGGGGTTGAGGAGGCTTCGGGTTCCTTCTGGTCGGCCGGGAGAGCGGCGTTGAGGCGCTGTTCCATTTCGCGGAGGCGGGCCTCTAGTGTGCTGAGCTCTTCGGTGTTTTTGTTGATGTTGTATTTTCTGGGACAGTGACATGCACGTGTTAGAGATGAAGCGTGATATGGTGTCGAGAGAAGGGCGATGACGAACCTGGTGTCGTACGACTGCTGGAGCTCGGCCTTGGATTCGTCGAGGTTGAAGATGTCCTCCAGCTCCAGTTGGAAGTTTCTGGCAATCGTTCTGCACGCAATTGAAACATCACAAAGGTCAGCCTCTGGTGCGCATCGCATTCAAGGTGAGATGGCAATGCATTTTCTTCTTCTTTTTTTTTCTGTTCGGTCGCATTGCGATTGATGCTGTCAAGGAGAGGAGAGAGAGGTTGACATACGACTGAGGGCGTCGGCCGTTGGGCTGCCAGTTGCGGTCAAGCTCCTCATCTGTGAAAGACATGGTGGCGGTAGACGGAATGAGGGGTTGAGCTGAGAGAGAAAAAAAATAAAGGCCGATACTACGGAGATTGGGAATAGATAAGGAAGAAGCAGTAGAAGAAAGAAAAGAAAAAGAAATGAGGCGAGCGCTGTTGCTGGAAGATTTGCTTGGATTGGGTATCGATTGATTTGCTCGATGCGCTATACGTGTACGCGGGAGATGAGATGTCGTTCGCTGGGGAATGGCAGATACGACGCAAAGTGATAATCGGAGGGATTGATAGCGGCGGAGGGAGAGGGAAGAAAAAAAGATTGGGCTCTGCAAAATTGATGAATGTTTCGTTCCAGCTATTCTCCCCTTTAACCTGGTTAGATGGCGGAGCCAGGAACAAAGAGGAACAAGCAGGGGAAATCGAATCGACAGGGGGGGAAGCCCAAGAGTTGCAGCAAAAGCAACAGGGAGCTCCAAATTCGAAGTGGGCAAGGGGGGCCGCTGATTTGCTGGGCTCCAACGGGGATTGCTAGTCAGTTCGCAGGGCGGTGGTTTTTCTTTTTTTTCTTTTTGGGGTTGGGTTGGATTGGGTTTGGGGGGGCCCTCCAAATGATGAGAGAGAGAACTGAGGCCGTGGGAAATATTAATAGCGACAGCTCGTCCGTGATGATGTCGTTGATTCGCTGCAACGGGCACAAGAGGGAAGCGAAAGTGGAGGTTGGACAAAAAGGTTAACTCTAATACGAAGTGTCGTTACCTGAGTGGTGGTGAAGAGTGAAATAAAGGGGGAAATGGGATGGAACGCAGCTAAAATAGATCCAAGAAGCAACTTGGTTTTTAATATTGATCAAATGTACGACAAGACCAGCACTAGTATCTAATACAGCAGCCGCGTGCAAATGTACGGCAGCAGCCTAGAGGACATAAAAAGAAGGCTGATAATATGTCTCGCCTCGAAAAGAGCTGGTCCTCTGCCTCACATCCAGCCCCGGGATATCACATGCAAGGGTCTGGTGATGGACGGGCCGCCATGGCCACGGGCTGACTGCATGCATCAGTTCAAAGTTGCGACTCTGCTCAAGAGGCTTTCAAGTCGAAAAGAAAAGGAAAAAAAGGCACGGGATTCCGCCCAACACCATGGGAAAGGATGAGAAAAAGACACCAGACTGGACCAGAAAGTCAAATGCAACCACCCCAGTCAGGCATTCCCAATCTATGCACTACAGCCACTAGCTCTGATACTCGGGGCGGGTCATTTGATGCATGAGGGCGCCATCAAATCCAATCCGCCAAACCAGCCCTAGAAGGAGGCTGGATAATCGCATCCAGCGGCCATCACCTCGCTTGGCTGTGGCGTCCCATCTCGCTCGCCTTCTCACGCGGTGGCTTAGGAGAGCACGTACCAATAAAAGAACAAAAAACAAAAAGAGGCGAGGGAGAATATAGGGAAAAGGGAAAAAGAAGGAGAACAGAAGAGAGAAGCAAGAAGGAAAAAAAGGAACAAGAGGACTCAACTGAGCATCAATTACATTACACCCATTGGATTTAGGGGCCAGAGGTGGGAATTAGGGGTCTGGGAGCAGCTGTCCTTTGACCCTGGATGACATCAGTGGTAATTTTTGGGGGCCCCTCAGTAGCGCCCCATTCGGTAGCAGCCCAGCTGTGTGCTAGTGGTCTTGGCCCAATACAGGCACATTTTGTAGCGGGTGTTACAGGCACGGATAACAGCAGCATGGCTCCACCGGTGATGGGAGTTGGGAGCAGCATTGTGTGTCTGGTCTCGTGTAACATCGACTGTAAATCATTTCATGTGCCTGATGTGACCGACGAGCTGAAATGCTGGGAGGGACCGGAAGCACCTGCATGCGGCGACTGGACTGCATTGATTTGATCCGTCAAGCCACTGGCTGAACGGCTGCCTAGTGGGAGCAAAAGTAAGGCTTTCCATCAACTATCATGAAAGCGCCAAAAGAGCTTGACATCAGCTTGACATGGTGCCGACACCAGAAGCTTATTGCTGCTTGCTTCTTCATTCCAGCGTGTCCGGGTGTAGCGTAGCTTCAGTAGAGTAGCTCTCTGGTGGCCTCGGAACTGGAACTCTAATACCAACTGTGTACTCGTTCGAGTAGCAGCGGGATTGGCTGGAGCTCCGTTTCTCGTCAAATTGTGATGGACGGATGGCTAACGACGCTTTCCTCCAAGAGGCAGAGACACGAGGTTGATTGACTGCTCCACCGCGAGCTTCTTAGCTGTCCTCGCCTTGTATCTATTGCCTCTGCCATCTGACTTGTGACAAGAGTACAGTGTGTAGATCATGATGAGTTGTTCTTGTGTCGCCGACAGCTGAGCCTCATTCGCAACGGAACGGCATGACTCCATTAATATCCTCAATTTATATTGGCAACATGTACCATCTACCCCATTCCCCATATCCCTTCGCGCCGAATACATTGTACTCATTACCCGGGGGCGTATCGGCTTCGTATCGTCACGATGGTGGCAGAGTGTGCTTCGACGGCTCCTTCCTTGTTTGTTTCTCATCCTCAGGCAACCCCCCTGGACCCTTTACATTGGCATTTCCAAAACGACGCTCGTATCCCCGAAACAAGATTCTTTCATGTTTCTTTTTACAATTTCCAATGCGCTTCGATGTAACCGACACGATGGCCAAGACGGCGTTTCCTCTCTTTCCGATTGCGCTCATGAGGGAAAAACTAGGGTACTGCCTTAGTACGCTTAGGTTGACTCTCTCTGTGGAATAGCCGTCGTCGTCGTCCCATGAACGGTTCCATGCCAACTACTGCACAAGTATATTAACAGGCACATCGACGCTTGCAACCCTGGTCGCCGTTGGTCTCTCGTCTTTGACTCTCCCCCACGTTTCCTGCCCTCCTGACTCGAGAGCCGACAGGGACCAGCTCGTGGTTCGCAAGCTAGCGCTAGAAGCATGCCTCACATGCTCAATTTTCCTCTTCTCGAGCTCATGATGCAATATCTGTCTGCATGGATTTCCTAGATTATGATAAATGTAAGTTAATCTAGCCGCTGAAAGTTGGTATCATATGCGACGGAATGATAAGACAGGATTGATATGGCTATTGTTTAAGAGAAATCAATACCTAACAGGCTCCCGCTGTTCATGTTCCTACATCACGCGTCTCAAAACTATGATTGCTTCGTCATTCACGTCGGCTGCGTCTGGACCAGGGGCCAGTCAATCTCGTCGTCATACCTGTCGTGCTTTTGCACCCATGCGTGGATCTTGTCAACGTCCCAGCCGCTCATCCACCTGTTGACTACGTCGACTTCTTTCGGCTTCGGGTGTCCATGAATTATACTCCGGCCAAACCCACAGATGCCTTGGTGAAATCTTCACTGCAGACATTCCTTGTCGGCTTGGCATGCTGCACGGCATTTCTCAAAGCTCAAGTGGGCCGTCTTCTCAAGACCAGACAAGTCTTGCGTTTTGGCCTTGCTAAGCTGCCTGTCGACGTCGAATATGGCTGACGACGTATTGAGATAGAGGACGTCGTCGCTCATGTTATCCCAGTCTGGTCGAATAGGCGCCAGCTGCGGTGCCACAAACTCATGGTAGAGATCCTTGATGCGCATGGGAAAGGTGAAATTTCGCTTTCGTTCAAACCCGTATAGACCAGACAACCCTTCTCTTCCCACATGGTGCATGGTAACAATCGGCTGGCACCATTCTCTCTCGGAATATGGAATTGTGAAGGGCTTCTCTCCGTTAATCGTCGGCCGCTAATACCATATCTACAGAACCAGCAAAAGCCTGTGGACGATTGGAAGAGAGGTGAGGAGAGGAAGCATCTCTGGACGTCCAATATTCAACTTGACGTATTATTCACCTCGATGCCGGTGGCCTCCTTCAATGCTTTTGCAAACATGACGACGCCACAGCACTCGTTTATTGTGGCCTCATCCCAGCGATTGGCGACATTGTGCTTACCCTCGAACAAGTTACGCATGGCCGCGCTGGAGACGACGTAGCCACTGCCGCCGTGGCCGAAAGGGAAACCGTTCAAATATGCAAGACTGCCAAACTATATTTGATCCGTGTTGTAGGAATTTGAGATTTGTCAAGATCTGGGATGGAATTTTCGAAAAGGCTTCCGAAGCCCCTGGTTTCATGACGAGGATAATCTTTAAGGTAATGGGAAACTACGCGCACTCGGATATAGGCGAGCTATTCGGACTGCCGGATCTTTCTAAGATAGCAGAAATGTTCGACAAGGCAGGATTGGATTTCTTCACTGGCACGGGAGCCGGCGTCTTATCGTCCACCCGAGCACTATCCGCATGTTCGTACGCATTGAGTCCTCCTTTTGGTCGGGTTACTTCGCGGCAATAGATTCCGTCGATACACTGAATTTCCAATCGCCTCAAGGAAAATACCAGTGCACCCAAGAAGACGCCCGAGATCAGTACTAGGGCCGTGGCTCGCTTGAACAGCATTCTTACTGGCTTAGTCGCTCGCATTGAAGAATCGGGGCGGCTTGTGGTTGTGCCTCAACGGCAGAAAGCACAAGGGAATTAAAGTTGAGGGCGACAACCTCGAGTTGAAAAGAGAGTTCTCTATAAATGAAGGGGCCGAAAAGAAGCCAAAGGTCGTGATGAAAGTTGGACCCTAACGACTGAGCGAAGGCAGAGTGGTTGACGGCGAGAACTGATCCCCTTTATTTACTTTGACTTGCTTCTCCCCGAAGCTGACATGCCGGTGAAGCGCATTTGACTCCTCGAAAGTCAGCGCGTATAGCCGTAATGTAATCGGCTGAATTGTCAGGTAGATGGTGTCGTCCAACAGCGTTGTTGGCCCGGTCGTTCCCCAGAACCAACACATGAGAACCCACCCCTGCATGGAGCACTCTATGTGAGGTCCAGATATCGCATCATCTATCCGCCCTCACCAAGAGTTGCCTTTTAACCACAGCAGGTACCTACCCTTGTTGCTGCCACGAACAAGCATCATTGGGCTGTTGAGTTCCATAAATGTATTACCGTGAGAATATGGGGTGAAAGCTTGTTCACAATGACATAACTGGGCACCTACTAGGGTCATAAGCAATTCCCATTGATGATTTTTGATATATACAGAGAGCACCGTGCCCAGCTTATGAGTTTCTCACACCGTTCAAAGTTCATCATGAGCCTCTAGCTCTTCATCAAACGTCCCATCCCAAGGCTGAGCTCTGCCTTCTGAAATAGCCACGATGAACTGGTCGATGGCGTCTGGTGAAGAAGCATCTCCCCTGAATGGGAAAACCTGCCCGTTGTGAATGTTTTGCACCGCGAGGCCTCCGCTGGAGCGAACGCCGAGGTTCCGCGCCATGTCGGGATACTCGTTGGAATCGACGGTTACGAACTGGAGAAACTCGGCGTATCGGCCAGCTACTTGCTTCAGGGCTTTGGCGTAAGCCTCACGGCCTTCCTCACTATTAGAGAGGTAGTAGACCAGCGAGCGCCCAGACTGGAGTGATATTAGCAGCCAAGTTAGATGCACATCAGTGGAAGGGGGAACAGACAGAAAGATGTGCCATTTCGTTGCGTCTCGTAAGTTGCGGGATGAGCTCCGCGGTGCAAGTTTTGAGAAAGTTCTTGAGAGCGTTTGGATCATCTAAATCTTGGGCGTTGTTCTCCCGTCGATCAATGCTATTTCTGCACCACACGCCATCAGGGCGATCAGATTTAGCGGTAGTTATGCCAAACGAGTAGCGATCAGAATACTCTTGGGCAAAGTCACGGAATCGAGCCTCGAGGATTTTATCCTCGTCTTGCAGCTTCAGGATAAATACAATGTCGTCGCTTAAGATGAAGTCCTCGAGTTTCTTGCCATTGACATCTTGTATGGATGGGCGAAGAGCCCGCTTCACGAAAGCCTCGATGCTAGAGCGGCGCCGTCAAATTCCTGTTCAAGCAGAGAATAAAAAGGGGCTATAAATCAGGGCAAAACTCACGCTGCGGCACGACGAGGACCTCGATATCGTGTTGTTGGACCGTCCTTTTGATAGAGGCGGATGGCGGGAAAAGAGACGACGTCCAGCTCTTGGCAGAGCGCAGGAGTGGATAGGCAGTCGATGGCAGCGGCAGAAGAGACGGATTTCTGGACGGTCTGCCATTCTTTCAAGAGGCTTTTACTGGTTTGTCTGTTTCGCGGTTAGCCATGGGTGGATTCAATTCATGGAGATGCTCACAGGTTGGGCTACATGAGACGGCAATGTCAAAAGTCAGCCTTGTCACAGAAACGATGAAATCCGTCCGTCTTACCGCAACAACTAAAATCGTACATCAGCAAAACAATCATCATCAGGTTGGGCATTTCGTTTCCACCTACAGTCTAGTAGCGTGTATTCATTCTCCGCGAGATGCTTCTTCACTTCCGTCGGCCCGCTAAATTGAGAAGCACAAGCTGCTAATTGTGCGCAGGCCAGCAGCCCGCAGTTGATCAAGACGCTCGACAAACTCGGCATCACCATGTTTGAATATGTGCTGAAATAATTGATTCAATGGTACTTGTTTCTTCTGATGGAATGAAGTCAAAAGAGATGTTATTTGATTTTTTTCTCTTCCACGATGGCCATGAATATTTGGAGGCTTTTCCCCCTCCGTACATGTATGTAAGACGGGGTCAGATTGCAGGGGTTTGGCTGGACTCGAAACGACGGGGTCAAACCGCCATCGTCAGTCTCGGGCATCGACGCTACGTCTCGTGTTTCAACGTTTTGTTTGAGATTCCGGGGGGCCCAAAGATCGAAAGCGCCCCTCCAAGCTGTGCCGAGATATCCTGGCGTCAAGTCCAAATGAATACATGTACAACTTCATCGTCGAAATTGCAACCCCCCTTCTCTTTTCTTCTCATTCTCCTACATGAGATTCTCTAGTCCACATTCCTAGTTGAATATGATGTATTCGCAGAGTCTAGTCCGTTGGCTGGCCGTCATGGCCGTCGGCATGGGAATTGCTTCAAGCGCAGGTGATGCGTCACAGAAGAAGCTGAGCGATTATGAGTGCACTCATCCTCCATATAAAATGCACCTTTTGAGCAAATCACCCCTAGTCATTTACATTGAGAATTTTGTCACCGATGAGGAACGGCTTCACTTGCAGCACATCGCGTATGTAATAAGAACCATAATAATAGAGCATATACACTGACAGAAACCCTCACAGCCAAGGCCACTTCAAACATTCCGCAGTGCTCAAAGGCGGAAACTCTGCAATTCACTCCGTCCGCACGTCTCAATCGACAACCGTCGACCGAGACGCCGTCGTCCGCTGCATCGAGGCCCGCGCCCTCGACTTCCAGGGCTTCGACATCCCAGAGTCGCACCTCGAGCCCATCCAGCTCGTCAAGTACGCCGTCACGGAGCGCTACCACTTTCACACCGACTGGTTCACCAATCCCTCCCACGCAACCGTGTCCCTGGGCGGCAATCGCATCAGCTCCTTCTTTGGATACGTCAAGGCCGACAACATCACGGGCGGAGGCACAAACTTCCCAATTCTGGACGCGCCTCGGGATGAGCGCTGGTGTAAGCTTATAGACTGCGATGAAGAGTACGAGTCGGGCGTTACCTTTAGGCCGATTGAAGGCAATGTCGTGTATTGGGAGAACTTGCTGGCGGATGGCAGGGGAGACCAGAGGACGCTGCATGCCGGATTGCCAGTGGTGAGCGGAGAGAAGATTGGCATGAATATCTGGACGAGGCAGATGCCATTGCCTGCGGATGTTCGCGGAGACTGAGGTTGGGTGCAAGAGGAATCCAAGGGCTGAGTAAAGAACCCCTTATTCAATCAGCTTTCACAGGGTATAAAGACGGGCTCTCAGTAAACACGCTTTGAATTAACACCATCTATGGATACCACAATTCTTGTTTGTATCCATAATCAGAGCCTCAAAATCTCGCCAACGCTTCCAAGTATATACATGGAGTTGACAGCTCGTCGCTCAACTAGCTCCAACTCCAACAACGAAACCATTCGCTACCATACGATTCTCAAAAATATGGGGTTTTTTCTTTTCAATAGAAACACACCGTTACGTTGATATCCAAGCAGCAGGCGCGTGTGTAGCATATGTTCGACCAATGATACCAAAGCCCGTCGTCGACATTTCTGCTTTCTGCCATAGGCATCGTCGACAGCGTTGGGCTATCCGGGGTCTCCAAAGTTGACTATGATGAATTATTCGTGTTTCCCGAACTCGTCCGTTCCAAAGAGCTCACGGACACTGAATCAGGCAGTCTGAAATTGCTCAGAGTCTCTGAACTCGGCTGTGACAAAGTGCTCACGCCATCTGATTCCGGTGTCCGAGCGCGCACAATCTTTGGATTCGGCAGCGACGGAATACTCATGGCCACTGAATTCGGCGGTGTTAGATGCCTCGGGACTTTGAGAGTCAACTCCGTTGGAACGCCGCTAGGAGTTGGACTCGGCGTCCGCGGCGGATTGAGGTCCTCACGTTCAATCGGTATCTCTTGAGTGGGAAGAGCAGCCGGGGCCGACTTTGCTGAATCGCTCGATGGGCGAACGGTGGTCGGCAACTTGAGCTCTCGAATCATGAATGCGGGCGGGATCGCTCGGCTCACTTCTCCGATTTGCTCCTCGCCGTATCGTAAACAAGGATCGGGCTGTTGCCCTTCTTCGTAAAATGATATCACAGGGGCAGACCTCCGTCTCCCACGCTTGATTTCGTCGGTCATATCTTCCAAGTTGATGAGGACTGGAGATGGGGCTGGGGCTAGGGCACGGGGTCCCCGGCCTCTCAACCAGTCCATTATTTCATCCTTGCGGCCATATATGATCGACGCAAAGAAAAGAAGGGCTACGACACCAGCCACGGAGATGTACATTATCATTTTCGGAGTAAGCTTGCTCTTTTTGAGAGAGCGTGCATCGATCGCCGCCGTCGCGGGAACAGGAACCATATTTCGACTGTCCAAAGGAGGGATGGCGAAGGATGTTCCATTTTGAGGTATCAGAGAGCTGTACATCTCGTTGTAAGTCGTGTGGGTCGCATATGCAATGAAGGCAACAACGCCAGAGAAACAGAGTAAGATGAGTGCCCATCTGAGTATTCTCACGTCTCTGCCAGTGAGCATGACTGCGGTTGGTGCGTTGGATGATGCTTTAAAGAGAAAGAGAGGTGGCTCCTGTGTATGTATGTAATGATGATAGGCTGTTCAAAAGAGTGGCTATCACGGAGCTTGATAATAGAACGAAGTGGATGAAGATGCTGCAGTTTGGGAAATAAAAGCTCCAATTAAAGAGAGTTGAAGACCATGTCTTGTTTTCCCATGAGCTTGAGCTGATGTTTGTCCGTTGCCCGAGACGACGACAGAGACGGCACCTGCCGGGCTATCAAACGTTCTTCCTCCATCTCGTCTGTGTTGTTGAGCAGAGTTTCCCTTCCTTGTAGAGGCTTCTTTTCCCTCCAAACAGTTAATGCTCAACAAACTGTAGCGGCTGATTCAACGAAAGATCACGCCGGTTCTTGTGCCGTCATGTTCCATGAGAATGAGTCGAATGTACGTACCTGGATGCAGCCGGTAACATCTACCTATTGATCATTGGATTAGCAACTCTCGTCATCTTCTTCTAGCATCTGAACGTTTGTTGAATAGAGCCACTCTTAATATTCAGTTACATGCGAATTGGTAAACGGGTCTTGTTGGTGAGTGGGTGAGTTGAGTGATTGTTTCGATGTTGTTGACCACCCCCGTCACGTGACCATGCGCAACGACATCTCGCCCTCTCCCATACAATGCCATCAACGCCCTTTTCCCGCGAAGAAGCTCTCACGATGGATGTCCCTCGCGGCTCCAGACGAGCGCGCCATGCAGCCTCGGTGGCCTCTAGCCAAGAGGCCCAATTGCAGGCTCAGGCCCAGCTCGAGCTCGAGGCCGCAACGCAGCATCGCCGCACCCGCCGCCAGGCGCTGCAGGTCCAGGTGACGCCGGACGCCTCCATCGCCGTGGCAGCTGGCGTCCACCAGGCGCCGGAATTTGGCCACAGGCGGCGCGAGATGGAACCGCCGCCGAATCCCTTCAGACTGCATAGATGTGAGTTGATTATGGTTTACTTGATGTTGCCGGTGTTTTTTTGTTTATTTCGAGTGTGGGAGGTTATAAAGCATCAGCTGTTGCTTGTATACTTATACTCATACATGAAGACTGTATCATTGAAGGGGGATGGATGATGATACATTCTCTTCCTTATCAATGTTGGCCTTGTGTCTGGCTTGCTTCTTGTTCAGTTTGGCCTCACTTGTGAATCACTCTTTTTTTTCCTTCTTCCTACTTCTCTCTGCCTCTGCAATCTTTTTTTTTTTTCAGTGGCCTTTTCTTATCCCACCACGCCTACTTTGGTCTTTCGTTTTCTCTCTTCTTCCTTCTTCCTTCTTCCTTCTTCCTTCTTCCTTCTTCCTTCTTTCCTCTTCGCATCAAGGGATCCATCATTCTCCTTCCAGTCTTTTCCCCCTCAGCGTGTCATTCATTCATTCATTCATTCATTCAACTGCTTGCCCATTGCAAGCATCCATTCATTCTTTTTTTTTTCTATTCATTCACTCGTCCCTGCTACAATTGTCTTTACCTCTCCTCCAATCAGCGGCAGTCGCCCTGCAACTACAATAGCCATTCATCTACATTCACCGCAGGCGAAGCCGCTTTTCTACCCTCGTTTTCAAAATGCCTCTTGGACAGCGCATCCTCCAGCCTCGAGAAGAAGTCCCTCAAGAGAATTTGCCTTCCACTCGCGTCGCCCCCCCTTACAATAGACCAACTGGAAGCAATCGTCGTCCCCTCCAGCCGCTTACCATCTCCTCTCACGGCAATATCCTTGACCACAGAGAGTCAGTTCTTCGGCCGTTTCCCTCTCCAGACAAGGAGAATAGAGATGCCACTGTGCAGGCTATTTCGCACCGAGTGGCGCATCGAACTAGAGAGATCAAACGGCTCTCCCTCTTGCATTTACGCGGGCATTCGTTCCAGCGACAAAGGCGCCTCCAAAGACGGCGTCTCGGACGCAGCAGCATTCGCCAGTCTGCAACCGCTAACATGATTTCAGCCACGCGGAGAAACACCAACAACCGTCTCAGTCTGCAATTTGACAGCGATGGCTCTGGCTCCGGCTCTGGCACTGAATCAGAGCCAGATCTCAGCCATCTCGGAATGACAAGGCGAGGCATGACGGCCGTTCTGGAACAGCAAGCCGACCAGATGACGTATGACGAAGATGCCATGTCTGAAGGCCAATACGATGCGGAGGAAGCAAGCCTTGACGAGAATCTAGACGACAATGTTGATGAAAACGACGACGACAATGTTGATGAGCAGGTTGAAGGGGAACAGGAGCCCCTGGCAATGATGGACCCCGTTGTCTTTGGCCTCAAGGAGATTTCCAACTTGGGAAAGTTTACCGTGAGTAGCCATAAGCCGGGCAATGGTGTTGAGCAGCTCCGAAGTGATGACTTGACTTCATACTGGCAGTAAGTTTACCTTGTCTTCTCTCCCTTCTCGTCGTCTTGTTGAAACAAGTTTTAATTCTTCTGCTTAGATCCGATGGCCCGCAGCCGCACAAGCTCACCATATACTTTGTCAAGAGAGTGGGTATCCGAGACATTCGCTTTTATGTCAACTACAACGAGGATGAGTCCTACACTCCCACCAAGATTATATTCAAATCGGGCACAAGCGAGAACAACCTGATCCAGTTTGCTGCCATGAACCTCGCGAGCCCCGTGGGCTGGCAGCAAGTGCCTCTCGCCGGCGTTGGCGGCGAGCCTGACGGCAACACGCTCGTGTCTTGGGTGCTGCAGATGCAGATTCTCGAGAATCATCAAAACGGCAAGGACACACACTTACGTGGCATAAAAATATACGCCTTTGATGCAGACGCCGTCCAACCTGGTGAGGCTGAGGACTCTCGCATGGATGATACCCTAGATACAATTGATGTTGCGGGTAGTCGTGCGGCCGCTAGCAATCCCAGACTGGACGATATTGCACAGACGTTGGCTGCGGCGCGGCTTGAGGGTGGCGACTCGGGTTTTACCCTCCCAGACTTCATGCGGGATGCAGAGATTCGATAATGGTGCCAACACTTGACGGGATCAGGAAGATACGATAATGATGTTTGATTTACTTTGTACTTGGTAAGACACACAAAGGCTATGGACAAGGTGTTACGAGTAACGGGACGTTTCAAGGCTGCTCAAAGACGATGCCGCCTAGGGGAACTAGAAACGGATACGGAGTTCAAAATGTGGACATGTAGCCATCAGGCATGTTCCTTGTTGTCGCTAGATTATGTTGTGTGCTGTTTGCTATTCTACTTCTCCTTAATTTTTGATGGATCGGGCCACAGGTTAGGTCCATGGAAACCCGAGCCGCGCCTCCTCTGTTCCAATTGTCAACCTAACGGCTCTCATTAGACAAACATGATGTCGTCAACCGTAATCTAAGCGACGACGAAACTTCCTCGATGATTTCCGCTTTAAGCCACCGCCACGGTGATCAACGATGGGAATTCACCATGCTATGTAGCTTCGCCAGGCTTGGCGCCCATTCCAAATATCTTGTCAGCCTGCCACCGGAACCGCCAAGCGGCGATGAGGCACATCAACACGCGAAGGAACCCATCGCCAGTGGGTCTAGCTCAAGTCAAGTGATGCGCGAGGCTAAACCGGGGATACCTGATTGACGGAGTTGTGATGTGCATACGCGCGGAATCATGGTGTACCTTGGGTCTAGATGGCCCTTGAGATGCTGGTTTTGTGGATGCCCAAGTCGATCCCAACTGCGGTCTCCCAAGGCAGACGCAATCCAGGTTGGACAATGGACAAAGGGGGGCAATTTTCATATAGACTACAGGCTACGAAATTGGACATGATTGTGGCTTTGTCGAGCGAAGGATCAGGATCGTGAGGAGAGCAAACCCAACAAGCCCGAAGCAAAAGCAAAAAAAAAAAAAAAAAAAAAGAAAGAAAACCACTCAACGTTGGGCGCAGTTCTTCCTCCATGGGCAAATTACGAGAACTGGTCCATCTTTGTTCCAAGATTGGAAACCGCCGAGGAAATGCTCTTGGACAAAAGCAGAAGGTTTCTGGAAGGGCGGCGGCCGGAGCAAATCACGCAGCATGGCTTGGGTCGGGATCGGGGGTTTCTGAATGTGTTGACCCGGGTCTGATGATCAGCAGGCAAACCAGCGCTTGCTGATGGCATTTCATCATGCCGAACGAGCTAAAGGCATGCTAAGCAGAAGCCATTTTCTGGGGGGGCAGTGATGAGAAATCGGGCTTTTGACATGATTTGAGTTGAGCTGGATCTGGGGGTTTCTTTGCTGAAAAGAAAGTTGTACCACGTGCAGAGCTGCAGCGGTGAGTGCTTTTTGTCATGGATGCTGTTCTTTGATATTGTTGTTTTTCCACGTTGCCGCAGATGGCACATTGCAGCGCTGTTACGGAGTTTGCCAAGACGACGTGCTGTGGCAGTGCTGGAGTCGGTAAAGATTGATGCATGTTTCTCTGTGGAAATGGGAAATGGCTCGGGGCGATCTGGCAGTCTGGCCAGTGAAATGGGGTCAAGCGTCGATACGGAGAATACGGGCGGTCTCTTTGGGTCAGCCATGCAGGATCTGGAAGCTTGTTGTTGCGGTTGTCTTTGTTTGGCGATGGTGCCCAACTCCACCGAACGTGGCTTTGCTTTGGTCTTGATGTCCATACTGTACGAGTATCCTGTCGACATCACAAGTACTCTGTACAAGGGCACCGCTAGCCAACGACTAGCTGTTCCGTTACTGCCCGTCGAATAGAAGCCTCAATCGTCATGTCGGTCAATGGAAAAGGGATTCCAAAAAGTGAGGCTTCCATCCGTCCAGACCCTGGTCTAGGATAAACCGGCTTGATAACGCATGCGACCAACAAAGCAAATTGGGCACGATACGACACTGGGCTGTGTCAAAAGCAGCATGGCTTCGATTGCTTTTTCGTGGGAGGCGGAAACATGGATGGCAGGAATTGGCGATCAAGCCCGTTCGTTTATCTGCTACTGACGGATATTGGTACCTACCGTAGTACACATGTTGAAGCTGTCATAAGCTGACCGAAAGTGACAAGACATGGTTCTTATTGTTGCGCGGTGCCATGGTTGCTTTAGTACTCCTCGACCCATTCTGTATACATGGCAATCTGTCTTGTGCTTAACAAACCGAGGTCTTGGATGCCAGTCTTTAGCCGGGAGAAACAGCTCTTTCGCCTGGTGGTGGTTTCGAAACGGAGCGTGTCGCACGCCTTGGAGATTTTGTGCTTCCCCGTGCCGTTGAAACCGACCGGAACGATCAACCACGTCACACCATTGGAGCCCGCGGTTCTACTAAGCCTCTGCAAACTACTCCGGAAAAGGTACATGTGGCATGGCAGAAACGGGAGGCCAGAAAAAGCAAAATAGCAGAGAGAATTAAAAAAGAAGAGAGAAAAAAAAAGAGGGTGTCGAAAGCAACTTACACGCACAGAAACGCAATCCGCTTTTTCGCCTCCCCGCACGGCGATGCGGTGCCGAGTGTGGATTCTCCACCCACTTGCATTGATGGACGATTTGGCAAGGGTTCAAATCGGCTGTTGCCTCTTCCACTTCGTGCAAGTACAGAATGGGAATGAGGTACTGGGTTCATCGACGGCAATGCTGCTGCTGCTGCCGCTGCTGCTAGGCCGTGCTAGGAGGTAGATGCAGGCATGGATGTGTCGTATGTACATATACACAGTACGGCTAGGAGGACATCAAGGCTTCTGCTAAATCGGTGAGCAGGTGATGTGATGACGAGGCTGTGCAGCAGCTCTTTTAGTCCAAAGTACCGGCGCCATTGAAGGTTGGGCAGTACGGAGTTAGTACCTCCAGCGGTCATTCCCACCGGAAGTTGTTCCGAGTACCTTACCAATTGGGAGCACCAAGTACTCCGTACTACCTGACGGTTAATTTGTACCCAAGGGAAAGAAAGCATTGTCTGTGCTCCAAGGTTCTTGCCGTCTTTTTCCATTGGCAATGCCTCAGACAGTACCAAAGTACCAAAGTACCTCGTGCCTTCCTACACACACCCGTCGTGCTCGCGGTTACCAGGTTGTACGTCGTCGCGCTACTCTTGCAGCTACGACCTGGTCGGCTCCTGCTCGACGAACTAGGAATGCAACCACACCACGGAGCTGTCTGTCATTATATAAGATGTACTCAACAGCCACCCCAAAGCTCCTCCTCTTCCCTTAGCAGTGCTCTCTCTCCGCTACTGGACAGCGCTTCCATAGGATTTGTTTACTTTCATATCTTTTTTGCATAGGCTCAGCAACAAGCAACAAGCTGCGTTACTATAGCTGCTGCTTCTCTCCCAAAGTAACCTGATTGTCCCTTGCAATCGCCACCGCAAACATGTCTGCTGTCAACGGCGCTGGCCACAGCAGCACCTCCAAGGCCACTGACCAAGATGGCTCCTCGCTTCCCGGCTTCCAGCCCCAGAACAAGATGACGGTCCAGCCGCCTAAGGGAGACGACCTCCAGCGCAGCTATGCCGCTGAAGTTGGAGGCGAGGCCAACCCCAAGGGTTGGTACGGCAGCATGAGTACGTCATCGTCGTTCTATCATCACCCCAAATCCGATATGCTTCTTTTTCTGACTCGAGTTTCGGATAGTCAACAAACTTGGCGCATGTATCGGAACGCTGGGCGCAATTCCCTGCTGCGTCCTCTGCCCCAACCCTTATAAGCACGTCAACCAAGGCCATGTTGGTCTCGTCACCAAGTTCGGTCGTTTCTACAAGGCTGTCGACCCCGGTCTGATCAAGGTCAACCCCCTCAGCGAGAGGCTCATCCAGGTCGATGTCAAGATCCAGATCGCAGAGGTTCCTGAGCAAACCTGCATGACCAAGGACAATGTCACTCTGCGCCTGACCTCCGTCATCTACTATCACATTGTGTCTCCTCACAAGGCCGCTTTTGGCATTTCCAACGTCCGCCAGGCTCTGGTTGAGCGTACTCAGACTACTCTCCGTCACGTCGTGGGAGCTCGTGTGCTCCAGGACGTGATTGAGCGTCGTGAGGAGATTGCGCAGTCTATCGGGGAAATCATTGAGGATGTTGCCGCTGGCTGGGGTGTCCAAGTCGAGAGCATGCTCATCAAGGATATCCTCTTCAGCCAAGACTTGCAAGATTCGCTCTCGATGGCTGCCCAGAGCAAGCGGATTGGTGAAAGCAAGATCATCGCCGCAAAGGCCGAGGTAAGATTGCTACTTAGCTGGCAGCGACGTCGCCTGCTCCAAAGAAGAGATTTCTTTCCTTCTTTTAGTTGCGCAAGGCGAAGAATGAATCGGCTAACTCTCTTGCTCTTTTCTAGGTCGAATCAGCCAAATTGATGCGCCAGGCCGCCGATATCTTGAGTTCCGCTCCTGCTATGCAAATCCGTTACCTCGAGGCCATGCAAGCCATGGCCAAGTCCGCCAACAGCAAGGTCATTTTCCTTCCAGGAAGCAGTCAGCCTCTCAGTGGAGCCGCAATGAATGCTGCTCTGGGCGACTTTGCCCAGTCCGGTGAAGGCAGCACTGCAGCCAACACACGCGATTTTGGAGGTCAGGATTTCCAACAAGCCATGAACGCTCGTGTCGTGGAAAACTTCTAGTGCCGTGCCTCGAATGAGGGCCAGCTGCTGACTCTTTGAGTGGCTTTGGTGGTTTAGCGTGGTCTACTTGATTTCGAGAAGCGACTTCCATCGTTTTCAATGACGTCTACGACTTTTTCCCATCCGAGTCTCTTCAAGAGGAATGCCATGCCTTGCGCTTGCGATATTGCGACTCAGCTCTTTCGTTTCGAGTTTGTCATTGCGCCCCGTCGTTCTTACACGCTTGCTACGTCTCGTTTACGCTCGTTATGATGTGTTTTGTAATGTATGTTGATACCAAACAAAGGTGGAAGTGGATCTTGGGGAGAGGGAGAAAGATGATTGCTTGACATGTATGATACCCAAGATACCCAGGAGAATGATGGCCGATAGGCAACACATTAGTTAATAGCAGCTACTTTTGAAATTTAATGTAATCACTGTGATTCACTGCAAACCTCCTACTTCATCATTTATCACGAGAACGCATCCTACAGGGCTTGGTAAAATGTCATCATCATTGATCAAGAACGGTGTTGATTGAGGACCTCGGTAGCAAATTCCTTGAAACTTGACTTCCACGTCTCTTCATAGCCTCCCCCCTACTTGCCACCCATCTCTGGTGACAGCTTTGCTTTAGTAAAATAAAAGGAAAAAAAAAAGACAGTTTGTAGTAAACAAAGACCAAGCCACGCCTGTACCAGAAAAGATTTGATTTCCCTCCCCTAACGCCAGCCATATTAACAGTGACAGATTAGCCCGGAAGCCTCTCAAAGAATCTCAGGTATCACATATCTACATGACCACCCCATTGGTAATTCATGAGACCATCCAAGTCGATGCTGGTGTTTTAACCAGCTTCGCAAGATAGCCGAGAAAATGTTGCTTTTTAGATTTTTTTGGTTTCTTCTCTTCATCCAGATTTGCGATTCGATTCTCCAATTGGTGTTATATATACACACGATATAATGTGTGTGCGTGTGCAACATCTCAGTAGATTCGGCGCCTCTTCGAAGGGGGGACTCTAAGCGGCGAGAGATTCACGCTTCTTTTTCTGCTTCTTCTCCTTCTTGGACTCGGACTCGCCCTCGTCAGCCTTTCTCTTCTTCTTCTTCTCGGGTGTGGCCTCGGCGGGGACAGCCTCCTCAGCCTTGCGGAGCTTCTTCAGCTCCTTCTTGCTGAAGACCTTGGGGGTGCCGTCTTCGTTGAGCTGGACATCGCCGCGCTCGTACTTTCGCTTGAACTTCTTGACGGAGAGGCCAGAGAGCTCGGCCAGGCGCTCGTACTCTGCGCTCGAGAGCTTCTTCACTGACTTGGCGGGGGCCTCGTCATCATCATCGGAGTCTTCGGGGGCGTCTTCCATATCGACGTCATTCTCCTCGACGACCTCAATGACTGGCTTCTTGGTCTTTGACTTCTTGGTCTTGGGGGCGGGCTCATCATCTGCGTCACCCATGACGTGGTCGACAACGCCATCGGCATCGGCGCCGTATCTGCTGGTGTCCTTGAGAGTGAACTGTCCGGCAGCAACGATTTCTCCGGAAGGAGTCACGTTGGCGCCCTTGGGCAGAGGAGCCTTGCCCTCAAGACGGCGAAGGTAGTTCTCAAGCTTGATACGGCTGGTGAGGCCGAGGATAGCTCGCTGCTCCTCATCCTCCTCATCCTCGTCGCCAAGAGCATCGACACGGAGACCGAGGGCGACCTTGGCAGACAGCATACGGGCAATCTTGCCCTTGTTCTTGCCAGTAGCCTGGCCGACGAGAGAAGAGTGGTACATGATACCGTACTTGGGGGTGTCCTTCTTCGTCTTGAGAGCTCGGAAAAGAGCCTTCTCGGCGCCAAGAATCTGGATGGTGGAACCAGGGGCCTTGGCCAGGCTGAGGACGGAACCGGCGTGAGAAATGAGCCGGGCACCAACCAAGTAGCCGACCAGGGCAGTCAGGTTGGGGGCAATGGCGCGCATTCGGCTTTCCAGATAAGACGTGAGCTGAGCTCGGTACTCGGTAAACTTAATAACCTGGTCCGCGAGGTCAACAGCGTTTGTCAAATCCTCCTCGGTAATCTCGACACCCATGCTGAGCTCGGCAGACGCCTTCAAAGCAGCCTCGACATCTTCGGGGAGGATCTCGGAAAGGTCGGCATCCTTGAAGTTATCGCGCATGCCAACATGTCGAACGACACGGGCGTAGGCCAGGTTGTCATTGAGGGTCTTGGCCATCTCGGGGAAGTGCCATCCGTACCACTCCTTGGTCCTCATAGCGTAGACATTGAGTTCCTTGTCAATATCATCGAGCATCTTGATGGCCTGGATGACCATCGAGTCAACCTTGTCAGGAGAGAACTTGAGCTTGTGGCGAGACATTGAGTGCGAAAGACCAAGGGTCATGCGGTCAATGACGTCCTGGTCGAGGCCGGGGATGAGAGACGAAACGTGTTCTCGAACGGCTCGGAAAAGGTCCATTGTTTCGGTGCCAGCGACCGGAGAGACGTTGAGCTTGGGCAGGTTGGAGATGGCAGTGCCCAGCTTCAGGTCGGCAACAGCCAGGGAAGCCTTCTTCTCGGCCTGGAGATCCTCCAGCAGAGAGCTGAGGAGAGGAGGAATCTGGCCTTGGCTAAGGGCGGCGGCCTCTTCCAAGGCCATGGCGGCGCTGTCGAACTTGACAAATTTCTTGAGCTTGAGCCTGTTCGCGACAGTCTGTTAGTCCAAAGAACAAAAAAAAAAGTGAAGAATTGATCAAGGTGAAGAAAAAGGTAGCCATCACGCAGGGTAAAGACAATTGCCAGGTAAATCTTACATCTCAACGAGGCGCTCAGGCTTTCCCAGCTCAGCCGCGAGATCGGCATTCTTGAGCATCTTCTTGTCGGTCGCCTTCAACAGACCGTAGCTATAATCCTGTCAGTCGCCATTCACACCCACGCGATCAAGCGAATGCTGGGAGGGAAGCGCTCGCGGCTGGGGAAACTGACCCTGCAGGCGTCTCGGCAAGAACAAAGAGAGACATGGTGAATGATTGGGGCTCTCTCTACGACTCTTGCGCTTGTCGATTGGATCCTTCTTCTTCCCGGGTCCCAATTGAAGGGTGTTGTTGTGCGTGAGGATTCAGGGAAGAAGCCGACCAAGATTTTGGTTTTTTTTTTGGAAATTTTTCAGTCGAAGCTTAAGTCTCCACCCAAAATTTTTGGCCTTGCATTGGTGCTAATGCTTGCAAGTGGGATGGACCGCCGGGCGTCGGCGCTACAGAAAGTCCGGGAGGCTTCTGGACCACTCACGTGGGAAGCTGTGTCACTGCAATTACGCCTCTGGTCGCCGGCCATGCAGAAGTAAGTTCCGAAGATACATACGACAAAGGCAAGCTCTGATAGCACCGCTCTACCTACTTAGGATCCCGGGACACCGCTCGTTTTGCCCTCAATCTTGCCCGTCCATCATCGCCCCGAGGATATCTGAAGAGTAGAAAAGATGGAAGGCCTCTTATTCAACGTGAACAATGGGTGAGCAGCTCCAACATGTGCCTGCTTTGAGCGTTACTGACGGGGGGCGCAGCTACGTCGAGGGCATTGTTCGCGGCTATCGCAACAACCTTCTCACCACACCCGCCTACAGCAACTTGACACAATGCGAGACCATCGATGGTATGTAGAGGCTGCCGACAGTACAGTCGCTCACTATTAACGCTTCCCAGACCTGAAGCTGCAGCTTGGCCCTGCCTACGGCGACTTCCTTGCATCCCTTCCCCCGAACCCGTCAACATCGGCGCTCGCCTCCAAGACGACAGACAAGCTCATCTCGGAATTCCGATATGTGCGCGCTAATGCTACCGGATCCCTGGCCAAGTTCATGGATTACGTGACGTACGGCTACATGATTGATAACGTTGCCCTTCTCATCACCGGCACCCTTCACGAACGAGACACGCGAGAGCTCCTCGAGCGATGCCACCCACTGGGTTGGTTTGAGACCATGCCCGTGCTTTGCGTCGCGACCAACGTGGAGGAGCTTTACAACAGCGTGCTGATCGAGACTCCTCTTGCTCCATACTTCAAGGGCAGCCTCAGCCACCAGGACTTGGATGAGCTCAACATTGAAATCGTCCGAAACACGCTCTACAAGAACTATCTCGAAGACTTTCACAATTTCGTCAACACCCACTCCGATATGGCTGGCACACCTACTGCTGAGGTCATGTCCAACATCCTTGAGTTCGAGGCTGACCGCCGAGCCATCAACATCACGCTCAACTCCTTCGGCACTGAGTTGACCAAGGCCGACCGCAACAAGCTGTATCCGACCTTTGGAAAGCTGTATCCCGAGGGCACCTTGATGCTCTCTCGAGCCGATGATGTTGAGGGTGTGCGTCTTGCCGTCGATGGCGTTCATGACTACAAGACTTTCTTCGATGCCGTGTCTCTTGGTGGCTCGTCCGGCCCTGGCAACATGGGCGGTGGTTCTGCCGATGGCAAGAGCCTGGAGGACATGTTTTACCAAAAGGAAATGGAGATTTCCAAAGATGCATTCACACGACAGTTTACCTATGCCATTGTTTATGCATGGGTCAAGCTTAGAGAGCAGGTATGTGTCATCTTGCTGCCATATGATGAGAATGGCAAACAGATCAAAGCGCTAACTTGTTCCAGGAAATTCGCAACATCACATGGATTGCTGAGTGTATAGCTCAGAACCAAAAGGACCGCATTGGAAACTTTATTAGCGTCTTCTGAGCGGCTCATAAACTGATGATGTATTGTCTTGGTGTAGTGTTTGGGTGTAGCATAATATCGTCGTTTCGTTTCGAGTAATTGCACGGGAAGGGTTCTTTCAGACTAGGCGCATATGGAAGAGGCGAATGATTGACATGGGCAATCACGCATCCTCTGATGGGCTCTATTGTACATATACAGATGCTTTAAACTATTCCTACAACGCTTTTCGTTTTTTTTTATATCTTCAACCCCCTCCGCTTCACATATCGATTTGTCCCTTCCATGTGGCAGGCGTGAGACCCAGCTTCTCAAGCATGTTTGTCCACCTCTCACTGCCCCTCTCTTTCCGCTCCATGTATTGCAGCAGCTTCTGGCGCCTGTGTACGAGCAATCTCAAATTCCTCTTGTTGTGCATGTCCTTGTAACCTCGGTTGATTGCCAGCCCTTCGGAGACTGCTCTAATCTTGGCAGTCAGGATGGCGATCTGCACCTCTGAACTGCCAGTGTCTGGACCGGCACGGCCAGGCATTGGTGTGGTGTTTGGCGAAATGGACTGCGGCTTTGGCTTGAGGAATGTGTCGGTGTTGTGTCGTCCAAACTCATCAACGATGCGTCTGACGTTGGCGTGGAATCGGTCCCGTGCGCTGCCGTTGCTCAAAGCCGTGATCCTCCGCAGGGCCTCGACGGCTTTCTGGTGCTTCTGGTTGTGTGCTTGCTTCCTCTCCTCCTCCGTGCTGGGGTCCATTTGCGATTCCACGACCCCGACCATGGGCTTCGTCAGGGCATAGGCGTGCTTGACCGCATCCTCGAGCTCAGCATCGCTAAGGAAGTGGTTGCGCAGCCCGGGCGTCGTGGGCAGGTCTCTTGGCTCCTCGAGGGCATTCCCGCTTGCGTCTCTGGGCACTGCGCTCAGCGGGCTCTGGCCAGCCGAGTCGAGGGACTCGAGGAACGGCGTCAATCTCCCTCGCACGGGATCCCCCCATGCCTCGTCCCGCTGCTTCTGGAGCTCGTCCTGCCTCTTGAGGTTGGCGGCTTTGCGCTGCTGGGCCTGCGCCCACTTGTACGGATCCTGCTTTGCCTTCTTCTTCTTCTCTCGCATGGAGAGATTGGCCTTTTGGACGAGGGGGAGGAAGGCCTGTGTCGTCGGTGTCGTCGCAGGCCGCAGGCACACTAACAAGGCTCGATTAGCGACGATGTCCTACCAACCACCTCAAAGCCGGTGGTTCTCAGCGAAGCAACAGGGAGTATATCGTACAATTGACTGTGCCCAGCCGCTGCAGCAGGTCTATTCTAGGCGCCATGGTTGATATTGGAGATGCGGTGCTATCTCTCTATCCCACCTCTCGCAACCGGGCCATCAAAATTTCGCCGATAGTACATGGATCAACCCACGATTTCAACAAAACTTGCTGACTACTCAAAAGTCCCCACTTCTGCGGAAATGGAAAAATGCTGCCTTAGTCATCAATTCACGTGCAGCTCGAAGACGCCCGACAGCCTCAAACTAGCGAAAGCAGCTAGTCCGTTACCATACTAGTGCGCTCAGGGCTGGCGGCACACACACTTTTCGCAAATTGTCAGTAGCCCTCGCGAACTTTTGCGAAACTTTGCTCGAACCGTCAAAGCATCGCCGCCTTCTTGCCTCCTTCAACGACCAACTTTTTCCCACCACCAAGGAAAAATCAGTCAAGATGGCTCCCGCTAACCTGCCGTCCATTTTCAATGCCACGTCCCAGGACATCGAGATGCTCCTGGCGGCCCAGTGCCACCTCGGTTCCAAGAACCTCCAGGTGCACATGGAGCCTTACCTGTGGAAGACCCGTGTCGATGGTGTCAACGTCCTGAACATTGGCAAGACCTGGTGCGTTTTTTTTTCCTAGCTGGAGGGAGGGGGAAGAAGAAGAGGAGAAGCAGAAGAATGCGAAAGACAATGAGAAGAAGAAAACAAGAGCTTCTGGGAGAGGAAATTCATGTGCAGCGCAACGGGGATGCTAACCACCTTCGATTTCATAGGGAGAAGATTGTCCTGGCCGCCCGTATCATCGTCGCCATTGAGAACCCGGCCGACATCTGCGTCATCTCTGCCCGTCCCTACGGTCAGCGTGCCGTCCTCAAGTTCGCCGCCCACACCGGTGCCTCCCCCATCGCTGGTCGCTTCACCCCCGGTAGCTTCACCAACTACATCACCCGTTCCTTCAAGGAGCCCCGCCTGATTGTCGTGACCGACCCTCGCACCGACGCCCAGGCCATCAAGGAGGCCAGCTACGTCAACATCCCCGTCATTGCCCTCTGCGACACCGACTCCCCTACCGAGTACGTCGACGTTGCCATCCCCACCAACAACAAGGGTCGCCACGCCATTGGTACCGTCTGGTGGCTCCTTGCCCGTGAGGTTCTCCGTCTCCGTGGAACCATCTTCAACCGCGAGACCCCCTGGGACGTCATGGTTGATCTGTACTTCTGTATGTTTTGAAATATTCCTCTACCCGGATCCGTTGAACCCCCCACAAGCTAACCAAGTAACACAGATCGCGACCCTGAGGCCGAGGCTGAGGAGAAGGTTGAGGAGGAGAAGCTCATCACCGCTACTGAGGAGGAGGCCCCCGCTGCCGTCGAGTCTGGCTTCCCCGCCGCTGGTGGTGACTGGGAGGCTCCCGCTGCCGGCTTCGCTGGTGCTAACCCCACTGGCTGGGACGGTGCCGGTGCTGTTGCCGGTGCCGGTGCCGGCCAGGACTGGGCCGCCGCCTCTGGTACTCAGGAGTGGGCTGCTGAGGCTCCTAAGGAGAGCCAGTGGTAAGCGATGCGGTATCTGGGCAAAAGGGGCGATGGGGAAGCTTGTATTCCACGGAGCGTGGTAAATCTGGGCGACCTGATCAACAAAGGGGGGGAGGCGTTTTTTCCGGCTTTGCAACGGCGGGTGGTCTCGGAATTTCCTTTTGGGTCTTGAGCTGGCTGCACTGATGAGGGAAAGATACTCTCCCCTTTCGCTTCCAGTGAGGGAAGAGGGAAAGCCCTGTGCGGCTGCTGGGGGCGGACTTAATCGTTGCCTCGCCCAAAGGTCCTTGATTTTCCTGCGGTGCATTAAAAGGGTTTTATACAGCCGACCATGGTGAAGGATTAAAAAAAAAGAGAATTTAAAGATATCCCCTTTACAAAGCTTCCACCCTCGTGCTATTAAACTGTCTGTAAAGTCCTTTCTCATGAGCAATGAGTGTACATCCATCGTAATGAAGGAGAGTGAACCGGCCACAAAGCGTTTTTAAAAGCGAACTTTCTTTGTATTCTATGGGCAACCGAACTCGGTGCCAACTATAGGCAGGTATGTATATATCCTCCTTCAAAGGCTGTATATATGTGTGTCCTATACGCTATCACCCAAATTTATCCACAATGCCCCCAGTATTGGTATCTAAGCCTCCTATTTGTTATATCCTTCTTTATACTCCCACGCCTGAAAAAAAAAAGATAGAGAGAAAAGCAATCCGAAACAAATAAAACTCAAGTGAAGAGACAAGGGGGGGATATTTAAAAAAAAAAACCCAAAGAGAAAAAATGACAGCCTGATCAACAGAGGAAAGAAATCTCGCCTAGGAGTGCAGTAACATTGTTTTAAATCGAAGCAGCAATGGTCGTGGTGATGCCAGCAGTGGCCAGCTGTTGGTTGTTGTTTTTCTTCTCCTTCCTCTCATTTTCTGCCTTTCAAGTTCATTCGTTATATGGTATCGTCTTGGCAAATGCCCCTGAAATAGACACGAACAAAAAGAAAGCAACAAGGATAGACAGATAGATAAAGGTAGCAAAGAGTAATATGCCACGCAAACTAATGTGTTGCCCCAAGTCGCGCGCCCTTCTTCTCTCATAGGCCGCTGCAACTGAGCCAAGTCACAGGGATAGGGAATTATGAAGTTCCCTCCAGTCAGGTCAGACGTGGTATGACTTCTATATCCATGCAAGCAACAAAAAAAATGGACAAAAGGGACGCGTGAGAAGCATAGTAGAGTAATGTGTGTATGGAGAGAGATGGAGATGCAGCTGGGTGCTATCTGCTTGCGGTATGGTGGAACTCCGTGACACCAAGTATGAAAAAAAAAAGAGAGAGAAGGTGGTAGATGTTGAGCGGAAGGAGAAAGGGGCTTACTCCAGAGCCTCAGAATGTCGTCGAATCTCATCGTCGTTCAGTGCGCCCATCCAGAGACATCGTTCCGTGATGCCTTCGATTGGTTGGAAAGTGTACCGCGTGCTAGCCTCCAGCAGCCTCAACAGTGTCTTTACTACAGCTGCGCCAATACGGCATCGTTCAAAATTGATGAGCGGCGGAGTAGTTGGCGAGCTGGCAATCTCAGAGGGCCGTTGCGCGTTAAAGAGAAGGTCATGCGTGTAAATGCCGACGAATGGAATGCAGCCCCCGTCTGAACCAACCTCCATTTCAGCTCGAAGGCTATAAAAGTTTCGCGAGGGGGTGACGAGGGCCTCGAGTTCGCCGAGGGTATTCAGGTCACGAGCCGGAACCAAATCCCACGTCTTTGACAGACGGGCGACTTCAGCACTGGACAATGCGATGGTGAGCTGCGCCAAGGTGGCGAAATTGCGATACCGCCGACAATGCGCAGCAATGTGAATGAGCTTAATGATGCATCGAGCTCGCTCTTCAATGTGCTGGGTCAGGACAATCTCGGAAATGGCCCACTTGACCATGATATTGAATCGTGCAACAACAACTTCGACTCCGTGGGCATTGGTGTTTCTCAAAAAGTCGACCCATGAGCGGGAATCGTTGCTGGTGGCATTTCTCCAGTTCATCTCAATTAACTCTCTCCAGTCTATGTCGTTGAGAGCATCCTTCTCTATAAGGGTGAACTGCTGAGCCAAGATATCGGATTCAAACGCCAGGATAAATGGCAGATGGATTGAATACTTGAGCGTATTCGGAGTCTCTGGTTGAGGCAAGGGGGGAAGAGCTTCCGAAGTGCGTGGAGGCACATGCTCAGCTGTGTTGGGGCCATCTTCAAATATTGCCGGCGAGAGGGGGAGAGGTGTGCGGGTCCATGTTTGATCCAGATCCAGGGATCTCTCCGTGTTCGTCAACACCGGACTCATCATCACCGGGCTCATCGCCAATGCTTGAGCGAGTGTCATAGGAGCAGAGGAAGAATTTGACCGAGGCGTCGCGACGGGATCTCCGAATGGATGTGGCTGTGATGATATAGAAAATACGCCCGCTCTCTCGCGGGAATTGTTCGAGCCCTCATCCTCAGAGGGGGAGAGCTCAGAAGAGAGATCTGAGCCGCCAACGCTAGCATCTTCCAAGAAGGTCTGATCATCTGCCACTGGGAGAGAAGCCGTCTTCCGGGTCTTGACCCTCTCAATACTATCCGTTTTTTGGACAAAATCAAAGGAGAGGTGAGAGCTGGAGGCTTGGTGGGAGGCTTGATGACTTCTTGTCGCAAGATCTGAAGTAGCAGCATCATCCTCATCAGATGAACCGCGAAGAACTGATCGATCGGTCCACCGGGAAGTCCCTCTGTTGCTTCGACCATCATCAGTCAGACCCCTCTCAAGCAAAGGTATAGAGCAGTATGACTCGTCAGAGTCGGCGGTCAAGAATGAGCGAGTTTCAAGCGTGGCTATCCTGCTATGGGCAATCAAGGTATCCCGGTTCTGCGCAGTACCCAGTGGCTGTTTTCCTTTATCCCAAGAGCGGTATCCGTCATCCATTCCGCCCGCTTCACTCTCCTGGCTTTGGTTCTCGCTGGCATAAGAATCAGCTGTGGCTGCTTGTCCGCCAAATTCATTTGCGTCTATCATGGCTGTTTGTCTGAGCTGCTCAAAGGATTTTGGTTTTGGCTGATATCTGCCCTCCAGCTTCAGCAAGGCAGACTCAATTCCGCCGTCCTCCTCATCGGGTATCTGTGCCAGTTTCCGGGCCTCTATTTCAAACGATGGACGCATAATGGGCTTGGATGAATGTGTACTAAACAAAGACAAGTGCCGCTTGGCAGGCTTCTCGGTCAACTGACCAACGGAAAAAATCTCCTGTCTCTCACGAGGGTGGTGGTCTCCCACTCCAGAGAAACTGCGATCGTCATCGTCCTGCTCGGTATGAGTACCAAGGAGATACGAGCTCCGAACAGAATCGGTGTAATTTGTCAAGGAGCCAACGGAGTGGGATTTCCGAACTGTTGGATGATTATTCAGGCCGCCCGCGTTGTTGACTGCAGCTCTCAAATAGCCGCCAGGACGCCGTCGAATTATGCGAGGCGGCTCAACGGCGGGAGCCTGATATTCTCTGTCCAACAGGGAAGAATCTGTCGTGGCGTCAAAGCTCCGAGCTGTAGAATGCCGCTCGAGATGGCTGCCAAACGAAGCATGGCGCCGAAAGGAGTAGCTTGATTGTTGAGTATTCGTAGACTGGTTTCTCCTATGTACCCGCAGCGTTGCCCGGCCGAGGGGCGGGCGGCGCTGAATGCTGCGACGCATCGTCGAAAAGGAGACTCGGCTCATATCATCTGACTGCCCTTGGCTATAGGTGCGACCCAACGTTGCCATATCCGGGACGAACGGCGGCAAGGACTCCCTCTGGGAGGCAGAAGGCAGAGACACGAGTTGGTCGAGTAGGTACGACGATCTCCGTGGTGTTCCTGCCATGAGCTGCGCGGGGGGCGTCGTAGGGGGCGTCGGATCACCACCAGCTGTTAAAAAGGAGCCCACGGATAATCCACCGGCGGCGGGGTTGAAGGTGGCAGCAGGAAGTCTGTCACGTATGCCTGGCATATCGAAAGGAACAGTATCATCAACAATGACGATGGATTGGCTTCCAGCAGTGAGGCCCATGTCACTCATAGGTCGCGACCTCCGATTCTGAGGCAAATAATCGCCGGTGCTTGACTCCATATGTGCAACTGAATACTCCACGTGCCGCCGACGCCTGGTTGAAGCAGGGGTTGGAGCAGGTCTCGGGACGCCCAAGCGTTCTGCTTCGGCAGCTTCCTCTTCTTCACGGATGGCCCTCTTGAAGTCTTCAGCCACTTCGGCCCCGAGCACGTCAATCCTCACCTGGGGACGACTAGTAGTCTGGGCGTAGCCGCCCTGCGTGAGGATGGTTGGCCCAGGCAGCTGGTCGATACTGACGGTGTGGGCACTCAGGGAAGCGACGGCAGGCAAACTTGTGTGTGATCCAGATGACCACTGCCCTCGGTTATTCAAGGCGCGTCGAACACCGCCCAGGAACTTCTTCATTCCAGATCCAGACATGGCCACACCGAAGATCCGGTCTTTGGGAGCATTGCGGGATACGGGCTGGAAGATGGTGGTCTGCCTATTGTCGCCAGTGGGGGTACCAGACTCAATGTCGACAAACGGCTGACCTGGCGGGAGAATGTTGCCTCGAACAAGATTTCCTGCGGATTGCAATATCATGTGCAAATCAACGTCTTGCGACGAGAGGTGATCCGAGCCAGGGCCTCTTATAGAGTCGGTGGCGCTGTTGCTACGTCCATGACTTTGAGCCGGTCGAACACGTTTGCCAGCAAGCGCCTTGGGAGTTGTTGCTATAGCTCCCGGTGGCAAGATGGGAGACGTCGAGTAAACAGGATGAGCTGCTAGTGGCTGGCTAGAGTTGGGATTCAGTGATCTCACGTTCTTGGTTGGGAATGAACAAGACACAATGTCCATGCTTGCGATGCTAAGCGGCGAAGCGGGTCCGTTGCTCACCATAGTGGTGGTGATTATCTGATGCTCGGGGGTTCCTGGGCGATGATCCGATACAGCAAAGTCTCCGAAATGGGCCGTCGTAGGGAT